TGGTNATAAGCTGATCTTCAAATTTCACAAATGGAGTTGTAATCTCCCCAGCTACTATTTTGTCCCGAATAAAGTGACAATCAACCTCAATTTGTTTAGTTCTCTCGTGAAACACTGGATTGGCAGCGATATGGATAGCTGTCTGGTTGTTACAGAACAACTGTAAATGAGGTAGAACTGGAAACCCAATTTCCTGAAGGAAGTATAGCAGTCAAGTCAACTCACTCGTCCTATGCGTCATTGCCCTATACTCAGCCTCAGCACTGCATCTTGCTACCATAGGTTATTTCTTACTTTTCCATGAGACAACATTACCTCCTGAGAAGGTACAATAACCAGTGGTTGATCTCCGATCAGAAGGAGAGCCAGCCTAATCAGCATCTGAGAAACCTTCAACTCTAAGATGTCCATTAGCTCGATATATCAGTCTAAGTCNAAAAGGTACAATAACCAATGGTTGATCTCCGATCAGAAGGAGAGTCAGCCTAATCAGCATCTGAGAAACCTTCAACTCTAAGATGTCCATTAGCTCGATATATCAGTCTAAGTCCAGGAGCTCGTTTGAGATATCGTAAAATACGAGTAACGGCCTCCCAATGTGGTACTCTAGGACACCCTATAAACTGACTTACTATACTGATTGCATAAGACATATCCGGTTGAATAATAGTTAGGTAATTGAGTTTCCCAACCAATCTGTGATACCAACCCAAATTCTCAAATAATGCACCATCATCCATCAATAATTTCTGATTCGGATCCATAGGAACATCAATCGGTCTGCCACCCAGCAAACCTGCTTCTTCTAGCATATCAAGTACATATTTCCTCTGTGATAAACAAATACCCTGTTTAGATCGAGCCACTTCAATTCTCAAGAAATATCTAAGTTTTCTCAAATCCTTAGTATGAAATCGATCTTGCAAGAAGATTTTTAACTTGGCAATCCCCTCAGAATCATTTCCAGTAATCACAATATCATCTACATAGACCATCAATAGGACATATCTAGCATCCGTCTGTCTATGAAACACAAAATGGTCTGTCTGGCATCGAAGCAGACCAAACCCTAAAACTGCATCTGAAAACTTACCAAACCATGCCCTCGGTGACTGCTTCAAACCATACAAAAATTTCTTTAACCGACATACACACTTACCATACTCCCCCTAAGCAATAAAATCAAGTGGCTACTCCATGTATACCTCCTCAACCAAGTCACCATGTAGAAAGGCATTCTTGACATTTAACTGAAAAAATGGTCAATCAAGATTAGCAGCCAAAGAAATCAAGATACAAACAAAGGAAATTTTTGCAACAGGGGAGAAAGGCTCCTCAATCAACACCATAGGGTCTGAGTAAAGTCCTTTGTAACAAGTCGGGCTTTGAGACGCTCTACAAAATCATCCAGGTGAAATTTAACAGTGTACACCCAACAGCAACCAACAATTCGTTTACCAGGGGTAAAGGAACGAGATCTCAAGTCCCATTATGATGTAGGGCATCCATCTCATCCTCCATAGCTTTCCTCTAACCTGGATCAGATAAAGCAGCCTGTAAATGCTTAGGGATAGATATAGTAGATAATTAAGAGATAAAACAAGAGAAGACAAGAGATAAGGCATCATATGAAACAAAATGAGTAATAGGATGATTAGTAACACACGAACGAGTACCCTTTCGAAGAGCAATAGGTAAAGAGTCAAAATTATCTGATGAGCTAGGATCATAAGGCGGCAAGGAAGACGGTACAGACATCTTAGTCGATGGTCGAGGACGACGAGAGTATACACGAAGAGGTAAAGTAGACGATAACACAACGGGCAGCAGAATATCTAAAGATGAGGGAAGAGATGGTGATACAAGAGGTGACCCAAAGTCCAGATCCAAAGGCTAAGAAGGTGCTGGAAAATATGGAACAGATTCCTCAAATGTGACATCGACACTAGTAAAGTATCGTCGCTGAGAAGGACTGTAGCAACGATACCCCTTCTGTGTGCGAGAATAACCAAGAAATACATATTTGGTAGCTTGAGGATCAATTTTATCAAACTTAGGACCCAAATTGTAAACATAACAGACACATCCAAAAATCTTAGGAGTTAGGAAAAATAAGGGCTTATCAAGAAAAAGGACAGAACATAGACTTTGCCTATTTAACACAAGGGATGACATACGATTAATTCGGTGACAAGCAGTAAGAACAACATCACTCTAAAAATAACAGAGAATATTCATTTGGAATAACAAGGCACGGGTGACTTCCAACAAATGACGGTTCTTGCATTCACCAACACCGTTCTGTGGAGATGTGTAAACACAAGAAGTCTGATGAATAATTTCAGTTTTAGTAAGATAAGTTGAAAAAAGATCAGATTCATATTCCCGAGCATTATCAAAACGTAAAATACGTATACGACAACCATACGGAGTTTTTATTTTCTTACGAAAGGTCTCAAATATAGAGAATAATTCAGACCGAGCTTTCATCAAAAATAATCAAGTCATACGAGAATAGTCATCCACAAAAGACACAAAATAAGGATATTTATTATATGAAATATTCTTTATTGGACCCCATATATCAGAATGTACCAACTCAAATAAACTAGACACACAATTATTGACTCTAGATTGAAATGACACACAGTGATGCTTACTAAGTTGACAAACTTCACAAGACAAAGACGACACACAATTAAGACTGGGAACTTGACGCTTCAGATTCTGGAGAGAGGGATGTCTAAGACAACAATGTCATTGAAAAGGAGATAATGAGGTCTGTAGAGGCCGAGTAGGAGAATCAAAATCAAAGTAATATAGGCCACCGGCTTCATGTCCCGTACCAATCTTCCTCTTCGTCTTGAGATCCTGAAAGACACAATAAGAGGGATAAAAAGTTACAGAACAGTTGAGAGAACCGGTAATCTTACTAATGGAAAGTAAACTAAAAGGAAACTGAGGAACAAATAACACGGATGATAGGGACATATCAGGACTCAAGAAAGTAGTCCCCAAACCTGAAACTTTAGAACAAGTACCATTAGAAAGAGTAACACTACATGCAGAAGTAACGGACTGATAAGTAGAAAAAACATCAGACGCACCAATCATGTGGTCAGAAGCGCCAGAGTCTATGATCCAAGGACTGCGGGTGGAGGACAATAAACAAGTGAAAGCAGTACCGGACTGGGCAAAAGTAGCAGTGGAGGGAGATGGAACAGCCTGTTGCTGGGACAGGAATTGGGAATACTCCTCTTGACCTAGTGTAATAGTAACTGATCTAGTGTCTAGTGGAACTNACCAACACCGTTCTGTGGAGATGTGTAAACACAAGAAGTCTGATGAATAATTTCAGTTTTAGTAAGATAAGTTGAAAAAAGATCAGATTCATATTCCCGAGCATTATCAAAACGTAAAATACGTATACGACAACCATACGGAGTTTTTATTTTCTTACGAAAGGTCTCAAATATAGAGAATAATTCAGACCGAGCTTTCATCAAAAATAATCAAGTCATACGAGAATAGTCATCCACAAAAGACACAAAATAAGGATATTTATTATATGAAATATTCTTTATTGGACCCCATATATCAGAATGTACCAACTCAAATAAACTAGACACACAATTATTGACTCTAGATTGAAATGACACACAGTGATGCTTACTAAGTTGACAAACTTCACAAGACAAAGACGACACACAATTAAGACTGGGAACTTGACGCTTCAGATTCTGGAGAGAGGGATGTCTAAGACAACAATGTCATTGAAAAGGAGATAATGAGGTCTGTAGAGGCCGAGTAGGAGAATCAAAATCAAAGTAATATAGGCCACCGGCTTCATGTCCCGTACCAATCTTCCTCTTCGTCTTGAGATCCTGAAAGACACAATAAGAGGGATAAAAAGTTACAGAACAGTTGAGAGAACCGGTAATCTTACTAATGGAAAGTAAACTAAAAGGAAACTGAGGAACAAATAACACGGATGATAGGGACATATCAGGACTCAAGAAAGTAGTCCCCAAACCTGAAACTTTAGAACAAGTACCATTAGAAAGAGTAACACTACGTGCAGAAGTAACGGACTGATAAGTAGAAAAAACATCAGACGCACCAATCATGTGGTCAGAAGCGCCAGAGTCTATGATCCAAGGACTGCGGGTGGAGGACAATAAACAAGTGAAAGCAGTACCGGACTGGGCAAAAGTAGCAGTGGAGGGAGATGGAACAGCCTGTTGCTGGGACAGGAATTGGGAATACTCCTCTTGACCTAGTGTAATAGTAACTGATCTAGTGTCTAGTGGAACTGACCGAGGTATGGAAGCAACAACAGAGGTATCATCCTAATAAGAAGCCTGATTAGCAGCACCAGAAGATTTACCATGTAAATCGCAACAGAAGTCAACAGTGTGTCCTCCACGACCACAGTGAGTACAGGAACGGGATCCACTACGACCCCACGACCACTCGTACGACCTCCTCGACCATCATGACCACTACCACGTCCACCTCGATGATCATCACTATGGCTACTAGGAACCACAAGAGCTGAGCGATCAGTGGAGACACCATGATCAATACCTAAANTCGACCATCATGACCACTATCACGTCCACCTCGATGATCATCACTATGGCTACTAGGAACCACAAGAGCTGAGCGATCAGTGGAGACACCATGATCAATACCTAAAGGAGTAAACAGTGTAGCACGTTGTAAACGAGAGAAAACCTCAAGTAGTGATGGAAGACTAGGACCACCCAAAATCTAAGAATGAATAGCCTCATATTCAAGTTTCAATCCTACCAAAAACCTAACAACATTCAGGTCCTCAAGTTGCTTCTGCCAAACTACTGCATCAGTAGTAAACGGATGGTAGGTCTTTATCTCCTCACAAACTCCCCGAACATGAGAGTAATAATCCGCAAGATTCAAAGTACCCTACTCCAACCGCAAGTACTCCTTACACACCTCATACGCACGGATAAAATTACCTATACCAGAATACATGGTGGCCAAGTGATCCCATATCTCCTTGGTAGTGTCAAGGTAGAGCAAAGTAAAACTAATACTAGGCTCAATGTTATTCAACAGNTAAAGTTGCTTCTGCCAAACTACTGCATCAGTATTAAACGGATGGTAGGTCTTCATCTCCTCACAAACTCCCCGAACATGAGAGTAATAATCTGCAAGATTCAAAGTACCCTGCTCCAACCGCAAGTACTCCTTACACACCTCATACGCACGGATAAAATTACCTATACCATAATACATGGTGGCCAAGTGATCCCATATCTCCTTGGTAGTGTCAAGGTAGAGCAAAGTAAAACTAATACTAGGCTCAATGTTATTCAACAGTAAGGAAATGATATGAGCATCCTCTTGTTCCCACTGATCATATCCAGGAATAGTTTCCTCGGGTTTAGAATTCACCAAATATTTCTTGAATCATTTGCCACGAAGAAAGACTTGAGCAAACCGGGACCATAAAGTATAATTGGTCCCATTAAGTTTAACGGAGGTCATGAGACCATTGATAATAGTCGGAGGGATAGAGGTGGGTGGTAAAGCTAGAGTAAGGGACTCAGTATTCTGCTTGGGTTCCATAGTAGTGCAACAAATAGCAAACAGGGGGTGCTATAATGCTAGAACACAAAACCGGACAGAACTAGACCTGCTAAGCCTGCTGGAGGGCTGAACCGGACCACCTAGAAAGTTGAACCGCACCCCAAAAGCCTATTGGAAGGCTGAACCGGACCATAAAAGCCTGCTGGAAGGCTGAACCGGACCCCAAAAGCCTGCTGAAAGGCTGAACCGGGCCCCAAAAACATATTAGAAGGCTGAACCGGTCAAAAAATTGATAGAACCGGTCTGAACCGATGCCAAACTCACTGAACCGGACTGGAATGGACCAAACCGGGACTGAACCGGCCTGAAACAGACCAAACCAGGACTGAACCGACTGGAAATGGACCAAACCATAACTAAACCGGCCTTGAACTGGTTTGGTCTGGGTCTTGGGCTGGACCGATTTTGGTTTGGATCTTGGGTTGGACCGGGTCTTGGACTGAAACCGACCCGAAACCAGCCTGAATGGACTTTGTCTTCTTCGTTAGATTAGGGTTTCAAGAGAACCTTAATCTTCGACTGTGCAGCGCAGTCGACTTAATGGCACACCACCACAAGGTTACACAGCACAACGACACCAAGCACACCACCACAACAGCTCCACCCAAACCATCGCGAAGCCAACGGCCTCGATGACCACCACAGTCGCAGACCACAGAAGACAGACAACACCTCACCACTACGCTGGAACACCACGCCACCACCACAACAATAACCGCAGCACCACCACCACAACAACGACAGCCGCACCACAGTGCCACCACCACCATAACGACAGCAACACCACAATGCCACCACCACAACGCCGGAACTCCAACAACAACACCTTACAAGTAACGTCACCCAGCCAAGGTAATTTCCACAAAACAAACACAGACTAATATTTGTATTTAGAATCGTATTGCTCTGATACCATGTTAAGTGTAAAGGATTAACACAATATATTGAAAAGGAACAAAGAGGTCAAAAGCTTGACCTAGTTCTCATATATCATTGTATTAATAGTTAACTTACAATAAAAAGAAGAATTACACATACTACCCTGCCACTATTAACAATTTACACAGACTACCCTAATACTTTTAACACTTTGGAACTCCTTAAATTTTGAGATAGTGTAAAATCTTTAAACTTGTTTCTCCATGTCATAATGGGTTACACAAGAGACTTGCGAAGATAAAGACTTACATTCTTCCTGGTTCTCCTCTTTCCACCTTACTTTTCAATGCATTTTCATGCATTGTGTCATAGTGGCAGGCGATTGGGGTACTTGTCGAAGTTCAAGAGGAGGAGAAATTTTAGGGCTTTGGGGAAGGTGTACTAGGTTTGGGGAAAGAGAATGTGAAAAGAGGGATTCTGAATTTTGTAAGTTGCTAATTTTTTAAAGAAATTAGGTGGATTAAGTTGCTGAGTTGATAAGGACACTTTAGTTGCCACATCATCAGGTCACTTATTTAGGTCCAAAAATCATGCCCCAATAGCCTTACCCTTTATTGTAATATACTAATTCCCAAAAAAAATGCAATATTCTGAGTTTGATTCTATTCCAATTCAATTGGCTTTTCTTAAACACACACCCATATTACACACAATTTTTTTAATGGTATTCGTAAAATATATCTACAACATTGAACTTTTTAATCACATACTTTACACACACTTCATCAGATAAGCTTCAACCTAAGATCGCGCGCCAATAAACTATGATAAGAGTTAACCCGGTTGTGCCCTTAAAATGTTCATGGCAGCCCTATCAATATGCCACAACCGATTTGGTGTCAACCACCAGATTTTTCTCAACCAAACATCGTAAGAGTGGTATTCACAATTGTAAAACCTCCATCCACAATCAGATTGTGGCCGCTTACATACTTGCTTGCCAAATAAAGAACAGACTGAGCCACATCTTCTGGCTTCAGTGCTACCCCTTTGAGGTTTGAATAAACATCAAATGGATCATCATCTTTTAAATTGTACCCCTTCCTTGACATTGGTGTTGGAACAGCATAAGGCGAAACACAATTAACCCGAAAGCCAAATTGCCCTAATTCAAGGGCCGTGTTCCTCGTGAGGCCAAGCATGGCAGGCTTAAAACTTGTGTAGGCATGCGTAGCAACTCCACCAATTACTGAACAAACACTAGCCATGTTAATTATGCTTCCCCCACGGTTTGCTTTCATGACACGAGCTGCGTGCTTGATGCCCAAAAATGTACCAGTAACGTTGACACGATGAATGTGTTCAAACTCAGCTTGATCATTATCAAGAATGTCTATTTTTTTTGCTTCACATGATGTCGGCATTGTTCACGATTATATCGAGCTTCCCATGCTTGACAACTGCTTTGTCAACTGCATTTTGAACATCCACTTCACTCGTAACATCGCAATGGATGAAGGAAGCGTTGGCATGGCTTAATTCCTCGCAGATCAGGTGGCCATGATCATCTTGGACGTTAGCAATCAAGATTTTGGCACTGCGTTGACAGAATAGTTTCGTTGTAATCAAAGCCACTTTTCCTTCCAATCTACAGATAAAAACTTACAAACTATTAAGCATTAGGAGCATAGATGTTCATGCTATCAAAGAAAGTGGCCCTTTGTTGAGACAATTGCATACCAAATAAGTAATCACTTTTGGAATTTTTTAACTAATTTCGGTATAAAGGGCAAACTCAGTGAAGAATTACACAATCAATAACTTCAAAAATGCTGATAATTTTGCGAGGAAGAGTCAACATATTTGATTGTTACTCAGTAAAGCTTTGGCGAATTAATCATGACAATGAGAATTTCACGTTATTTTTAGCTTTCTTTTTGTCGGTTATGAGATCAGATTGATCTAATTCAGCCATAAAATTGGCAATTTTTAGATAATTGGGGCGAATTGGGGGCTAGTTACTGATCAATAGTGCAGCAACAAATCAATTGATTAAAAAGCAAAGGGAAAGAATATAGTAGAGCAGTTCCAGTATATACTTGGACAACAGTCAAAAGAAACGAAGCTTAAAATTCCAAACTGATTTAAAAATGAGTGCACAATTGTCTTTCTATTTTTTCAGGGGCAAAATATTCCTACAAATCTAATTTTCACTATTGAGGGGCATTTTTTAAAATAGAATTGATGTCTTCCATATCATTTGACCAAAGGATATGGAATCCATGAGAAATTTACCCAATCAATTACACAATTGTGAATTGAATTCATATAGTCCATTCTCAATAATTGGTATAAAACTTTTTAAATTGAGTTGACTATGAAGTTTTCTACTCCTCTAAAGTTGTGCTACTACTTTATATATCAAGACTAAATTATATTGACAATGCATTAGTGTCCAACCAAATTATATTGACAACGCAGACTCAACATTGAATGCATTCCACTATCTGTCTAATGGTGACAATGCATAGGTGTCCTAAATTATATATCAATAGCATCATTGATTATATTATGGTTTATGCATAGAGGGATTTGGAGGCTAGTCCGTAGGCCAAATAAGATTCCAAAAAAAATTCACTCACCAATTTTCTTTTAGATTAGGTCTTTGTTGAAAAGTTAAAATAATTGACATAACTAAAGCTCTTTCCAATTGAAAAAAATAACAACAATGTAATCACCTAATTTAAACACCTATTCTAAAAAGTTACATACATTTTTTTCCACAAACACAAATCGTAAGACATGTTCACTAAAAAAATTAAAAAAAATAACATGTACACAATTAAAAAATACAAAAAATAGGTACGCAATAAAACAAAAACTAGGTACACAATAAAAAAAATAAAAAATAAGAGCAATTAAAAAAAATAGTAACGCAATAAAAAATTAAAAAATATCAAGTACACAATAAAAAAATAACAAGTAGGCAATAAAAAATAAAAAAAATAGCAGGTACCCAATAAAAATAACATGTAAACAATAAAAAAAAAATAACATATATGCAATAAAAAAAAATAACATAACAAGTATGCAATAAAAAAATAAAAAATAATAGGTACACAACAAAAAAATAACAGGTACGCAATAAAAAAATAAAAAATAACAAGTACACAAAATATACCCAATTTTGCAAGTCCAGTTTATAAGAAACCCACAAATCAAAAATAAGAGGAGCGTAGAGCAAAATCAGAAGAAAAAAACCACAAAAATTACTCCCCAACCCATCATTTCTTTGCAAAATCAAACTAAACAGAGAGGAAGGAAGACCGAAGATTTCTAATCGAATCGATCTTCCTCATCATCGTCGAAGGCATTGATGAATTCCCATGAAGATAAGTCACCGACATCAACTTCTATGGCTTCATAGGCAACGAACAGATTTCCAATTTGATCCAATTCACCTTCAACTTGAAAACTCATGCGATCACTGAGCGGAAATAGATCGAGTGACCGTAGAGGTTGTTGCGAGAGAAAGAAATGGAGATCTGTGTTTGTGACACTCCTAAAATCGGGGGTCCTTTGTCAACTCATTGATCCTCCATCAACCCGCGGAAGTACCCATGAATGCCGCATAACCTGGCACCACGACAATAACATCCCCTTCACCGGGATCATCAACAACACAGCGTTTGAGCAGAGTCTCCTTTGTATCAGGCACTCCCAAACGCATAACTTGTGTATATTTCTATCACATGACTATTTCAAGGTCTAATATACATCAATTTATGCTTGATTTTACTCCATTTACATCCTTGAAACAAAAGGGCTCAAGGCCCGAAGACTTTACAAGATCATTTTAATTTTCTAAAAATTGCAGGAGACATACCAGTAGAAAAACAATGTTCTACCGGTAGAAAAATTCACTGAAAAACAATGGCAACTCAGTTGAACCTTGGTCCAACTTTTTAGAGTCCACGCATCATGCTCCAAGAGTGGTATTTGATCAAAACCTTGCACACACCCACACTCATGTTCCATGTCCATGAATGCAATGTTTCTCGTGCATATACAAATTTAACGTACAATTGCAAATCTCAAGTCATGTTCAATATATCATGAGCACCTTATGAACAACTTCAATATTTTCCATGGTCAATTAAATCATAAGCTTATAACCAGCATCAACAACCTTACGAAAACATGTTATAATATTATCAATGCAATTAACATACTTAATCAACATAGAAATTTCATCAAACACCTGGAAGGCATAATTATAAACACATAGCATGCCTCTTTCATCATATATCTCAAGAAATCACAAACAAGTAATTTCAACAATCCAATTCATGCTAGAATTGATTTTAACTATTCTTATACCATATTTCCACATTTTAACTACCATAGATATGTACTATACATGAGATTTTATCTCCAACACCCTACCCATTTCATATTCAATCATAAGTTGGAAATAAACCTAATTAGGAAAAGAGTTCTATCTCTTGGAGCGTAATACATGTAGTAGGAAACTCCCAATCAAGCTTCAAGCCTTGATTCCCAAAATCCCAGCTTTGAGACTTCATCAAAACCTGTGACTTTTGGTACGTAGACGTAGCCTTCGTCCCGTAGATAAACTTTGTTTCTTGGCCCGAAGAATTCTGACCAAAGGTTGGCCCAAGATCGTAAAGAAAAGATTAAGAAAATCCTTGATTTTTTTCCTCTCCTCTTCCCTCTTCTCTTTTCCAAAAATTTAATGGGTGATGGAAAGAAAATCTGATTTTTCTCCCCTATTTACACCCCTTAGACATTTGGCCCTCGTTGCGCTACACGTCTTCCTTTCCTGGGTCCTATTTCTTCACGAATTAATTAAATCTCGTCTCATTTCAAATTCAATATATTTTTCATGTTTCACAAATAAATTTTCAGTCGCGTTTATTTTGGTCATATGACACCCGTTCACTCGTAAAACGTAAAAAATTTGACTATTTCAAAATTCAACAAAAATTGAATGGATAACTAGATTTCGTAAGATGAATCAAATGATGAGGTTTGTTTCGTCATTCAAGTTCTAGAAAAATTTGGGTTTTCAACTCGTATCGTAGTAGTTAATTACCGTTTTGTTATTTTTTTATAAAAATTTAAATTTTTCCAGATTTTACAGTATTCTTAATCAAGAATGAATAGGAGAAGGGGATCATGATGTCTTCCATTTTGGCTCACTCGTATCTCTCAAATTTAGGTAGAAAATTATGTGATGGGGAAAAAATAGATAATAAATATACAATAACTGTCCAACCCCACCAACCTAGGGACCACCTCATGCAATGTTTTTTTTAAAAAATGACATTTTTTAATACTAAAAAGCCAGTAGGACTAAAAGTGGTTTACACACTATAAGGGGGACCCTAACCTAATTATACCTTAGGCATCTAATAATTTTAGATATGATCGTCCGGGCCGACCCAATCACTAGACTAATAAATCCTAGGCTTTAGGTACCATTTTAAAAAAGATTCCATAATTTTTAGGTGTGTAATAATAATCCAAACAAAAAATATGAATTTATAAGAAGAAATAATGAAAATTGGGGTTGAGTCATTTTTAGGTGACTTTTAATGAACCAAGTCTATCACTTAAACTAATTTGAGAAGTTCTATTTTAATGTTTTAGTAAGTAGTTAAGTCCACAATTTTTTTAAAACTCCAAAATACTCTTAATACATCCTTCAATCCAAGAGAATACTACACATTTCTTGGGAAGACAACACATTTGACATATTTCTTCGGAAGACAATACATTTGACTTGTATTCACCTACCTATTTATTGTCTCTTCCATCTCTTTCTTCCCCTTTGTCCATCTATATATATGTATATAAATAATAACATTTAAATACAAAAAAAATGTAACATTCAAACACACAAAAAAAAGTAACATTCAAACACAAAAAATAATAACATTCAAAATAAAAATAATAACATTCAAATAAAAAAAAAGTAACATGTTCAACAAAAATACTAACAAGCTCAACAAAAAAATGATAGACAAATAATTTTAATGCTAGTACAATTCCCAATGCAGGAGTTGTTAGTTTTTCCAAATAAGTTTTAACTAAATATAACTATGGAGTGTATTTTGGATAATGAAAATCAAAAATAGACTTATTTTCATACAAGTTTTGAAGTGAACTTAAGTCCAAAATAATATAAAATGGGGCAAGTTTTTATAAATCAATCTAACGGTCTCAAATAGACTCATCCAACGGTCATCAACATCCCTCTCAAAACCATTTACATTGCACCGTGCATCGAAACATGAGTTACCGCGAATAAGTCTATAAAAAGAGACTGATCCCCAAATTTTCCTAAGAAATAATTCCTACAAAAAACTTAGATTTAAGCTCAAGTAAAAGATTTCAACAT